TCCCATCCAGCTAGCAGCAGTACGACTTCGCCCTCAGACCCCCATCATGGTGAAGTAATTTACACTGTAACGGTAACTGCTTTTCGTCTAACCACTATCGAACAGATCTTTCTGGTATGGTAGGACCTCGAGAGAACAAGTGTTCCATCAGCATAGCTGTTTGGGTCATTGTGCTATGGGGGTCCGACGACTACGTGATGGTAGCAGCTATCGGTCAGAACTTCACCATGGACGTACTGACGGATATAATCTTAGTTTCGTCTGAATTCTCTGGAATTGACCTATTCCCTGGAGGTCATCGGATTGATTCGGAGCATGCAGACGATATTGTTCTGCTGGGGGAATACGGTGACAAGATGCGAGATCTTTTGAACGCGTTGAGCAGAAATCTGAGTATGTTTGCATGCGTTTTGTTGGTGTCTGTGAGATGCAATATGATACTGCATGACTGGGCTGCAACGTTTTCCAGTTTAATGATAAGGAGTGAAGTGATGAAATGTGTCGACCGCTTTGCTTACTTGGGGAGTGGTATCAACAGAATGGACTGGTTGTTGGTGAAATCTCACCTTGGATACGGAAGGCCAGTTTGTCATTTGCACACTCGCTTCACCTGTGAAATATCTATGACTCATACATGACCATTGAAAGTAGAAGACATGAAGCGATTACAGGTTTTTGATCGTAGGTAGGCTTACTTGCGTGTTGTGGAATAATCGTGTGAGCAATGTTGAAGTCAGGGGAAGATTATCAGGCAAGTCGATTGGTAAGACTAGGAAACTTAGTCAACTGAGATGATTGGGACATGTGCTGCGCATGCTGAACCACCACCTACCACGACGTGCCATGCTAGCGGAAGCTGGATTAGGTTGGAAGAGGATTCAGGGTGGCCAGACTAAGACGTGACACCAGTCCATTAAGTCTCTTACTGTTGATCTGACCCGTGTTAGTAGATGTAGACTGCCTGGTTTGGATCTCACTGGAATTGACCTGTTACCTGGAGGTCATCTGACGACCACGTCAAGTTAGAAGCTGTTCATCTAGTTGTATTTATGTATGTATGTATGTATGTATGTATGTATGTATGTATGTATGTATGTATGTATGTATGTATGTATGTATGTATGTATGTATGTATGTATGTATGTATGTATGTATGTATGTATGTATGTATGTATGTATGTATGTATGTATGTATGTATGTATGTATGTATGTATGTATGTATGTATGTATGTATGTATGTATGTATGTATGTATGTATGTATGTATGTATGTATGTATGTATGTATGTATGTATGTATGTATGTATGTATGTATGTATGTATGTATGTATGTATGTATGTATGTATGTATGTATGTATGTATGTATGTATGTATGTATGTATGTATGTATGTATGTATGTATGTATGTATGTATGTATGTATGTATGTATGTATGTATGTATGTATGTATGTATGTATGTATGTATGTATGTATGTATGTATGTATGTATGTATGTATGTATGTATGTATGTATGTATGTATGTATGTATGTATGTATGTATGTATGTATGTATGTATGTATGTATGTATGTATGTATGTATGTATGTATGTATGTATGTATGTATGTATGTATGTATGTATGTATGTATGTATGTATGTATGTATGTATGTATGTATGTATGTATGTATGTATGTATGTATGTATGTATGTATGTATGTATGTATGTATGTATGTATGTATGTATGTATGTATGTATGTATGTATGTATGTATGTATGTATGTATGTATGTATGTATGTATGTATGTATGTATGTATGTATGTATGTATGTATGTATGTATGTATGTATGTATGTATGTATGTATGTATGTATGTATGTATGTATGTATGTATGTATGTATGTATGTATGTATGTATGTATGTATGTATGTATGTATGTATGTATGTATGTATGTATGTATGTATGTATGTATGTATGTATGTATGTATGTATGTATGTATGTATGTATGTATGTATGTATGTATGTATGTATGTATGTATGTATGTATGTATGTATGTATGTATGTATGTATGTATGTATGTATGTATGTATGTATGTATGTATGTATGTATGTATGTATGTATGTATGTATGTATGTATGTATGTATGTATGTATGTATGTATGTATGTATGTATGTAGTATGTATGTATGTATGTATGTATGTATGTATGTATGTATGTATGTATGTATGTATGTATGTATGTATGTATGTGTTTTTGTCAGTAACTATCAAAAGTTTTTCGAATCACCTTTGATACCAGTCTGTAATTGCTTGTTTGGTTGCGTTTTGCATATTCCTAGTCGCTTCAGTACTTATCATCTGAAGAGTTTGTGTAATGCACGCTCCAACAGATGTATTCAGGATTGCTTTTATGACTCACGTTTCTAATCAACTTTTTCGATTGTATTGATAACTGATCGTGTACATTGAGCGGAACCATTGTGGGATTTCTGTAGCCAGCAGTTATCTTTATCTGCTAGGTGCAAGTAATATTGCCGATGTGCTCCGAGTAAAAATCTGTAGTTAAAACACTGATGACGTTGAATGAAAATTTATCTACTTGTAAGATGCTGAAGGTAATTTGTTCAATACAGTGCTTTTTAAAAAAAGACGTCGTTTACGTCAAGCAAAACAATAGGTGAACAGCATTAGAATGAATCGTTAAATGTTGTTTACGAATCACATGTACGTCTTTAACCAATCGGAAAACGGATACAACTTGACAGGTTTGTTAAATAGGTGGAATTTCAACTAATTTATTATCTTCTACATTCACTGAAAGTAATGAACAACCATTGAGTGAGAAGTGTGAAAGTCTAGGTCAAAGAAAATCTATGTTGTGAACCTGGTTAATTTGAAGTAGTCGCCTTGTTTATTATGCTAATGTAGCCGTTGCCTGTGGTGTGCTACGTATACTGTGTAGTGGGATTAAGTATGAATATAGCCTAACTTTTATGGTACAGAAAAGCAGTAATTCATTAATTGCTAACTGGAGGTGTTGAATTTTTACTTAGACACTCAACTTTCGTTCCGTGGTTCATGAGTTCTAACGGGGCCCCACCTAATTCGAGATGCAGAGTATCATAAAATTCTCACTGTATACATGTGGCTTATAAACTTGTTCATGAAAACCTGTATTAAGTTGAGTTGGTCCAAGCGATATGGGAAAATTTACTTTGTGATCTTCCTTGAATTGCCTCACACTCAATCCGTCCTAATGTCAGATGGTTAGTTTTAGTTTAAGACGTATACAAGGCTTATGTGTACTGTTCCGGTCCGTAACTCTTATCTTTTTAAAAGGTTCTCTTGTAGAGAATGCACCAAGCGTGATCCATCGTAGCTTATACTTTTCTTCTGATCCTTCTTGATTACCTCGTGTTTTACTGATTTCCAGGAAACCCCTTCGCCTCACCTTTTACATAAGGAAACTCAGATTGTCTGATATAACTCAGCCGCTACTCTCACGTTTTTGTTGATTCCTGTTTTTTGCTTATACTTATGGTTCCCATGTGTTTGCACCTCTCTCTATGTCTGCCTTCAGGGAAGACAGAAAGCATATATTAAACTTCATGCGCGCACAGTCATATACAAAAATTTAACCGTACCTTATTTGGCTTATGTATTGTGTGAAAAAAAATCATGGAAGAAATAGTTTTATCAATCAACTTTGTAGTAGCGAACAATTATTCTGAACTGGAAGTCATTAGACCTTTCAAAATTCATATTATTCAGTGTTATGTATTGTTAAACAGAATCTTTAATAATATATATCTGCGAAGTGTTGTGTAACAAGTAAACTAATGCAGTGTTACATGCTGAGAATTCTGCACTGTTAACAAAATTATGGTTCAGAATAAAGGAAATATATTATTTCTATAACGTATTAGAAGATGAAGATTATCTGGAAATGTGATATATTTGCGCGATACATTTCGAACAATCCGATCACACACTCACTTGTCAAGTCAGTTTATATTTATAAATGAAAAAATCAAAGGTCAAATATAATGAATATGAAAAGGATCATGACACCAGTCTTGATAATATAATCAGATTAGGATTCCCAAAGTAAATTAAGTCAGACAACAAATTGTACACACTATAGGGGCTTAAATTTACGAATAGGCTAACGCCTCAGGGAATTTCAGTTTGCGCCCCTGGCTGTTACTATATAATATCGTAAATGCTGTTTTCGTATTAACCTTATGATTCATTCCGATAATATGTTTTGTTATAGATGAAGATGGATTTCTCTCACTTGCCTTTATCAAAGTTTGTGTTAAATTGGTTTTCAAGACATTTAGGTATATGTTCACCCACTGTAGTCTACATAGCACGACTACTCCCCATGTATATGTGCCCATACATACATTTAAATTGGCATACTCCGTTGGAATGCAACATAATCATTTATGCGAGGTTGAGATTTGTGACGAACCAGGTGTTTTGTTGTCTCAACAATAATAAACTGAGCTGCATAGTCTGTTTTACTGATAACAGATTTTAATCTCTGTTTCACTATCACACTACTTGTTTCCCATCTGTATGGTACTTTAAGAAATACATCCTTCTTCGAGGCCGAGAAAATTATAGGCTTTGGAGTTGTTCGAAATGTATTGCGCAAATACATCACATTTTTCGGACAATCTTTGTCTTATAACGTTACCGAAATTTATTAAGGGGACTAATAGACTAGATGGTTTGAAAAAACTTGGGCACCGAGTTAGTATGATTCTTCACATAAAGTGTATTTTTACTTGTGTAGTCCCGTGTAGTATATTAGAGCAAATAACAAAATAAACAAATATTTTGTATGTTTTGCAACATAACGCTGATCGTATTTGTTCATCATAACACTTTTTCTAAATCTTCGTTTTGTTGAATCTTTACACATGAATTTGGTTGCGAAGGTATTAATTTCAAGAGATCGTAATTTATGAAACACTAGGAATCATTTTTATTTATTTTTATGTAGACTGGATTGCTTTTCCCTGGGATTGTTCTAATATTCGGTTTAGTGTTGAACACATTTATCTGGTACAAAGGGTCTTCTGCTGCTGTTTCATTTGCTACATTGATTGCGTTGCTCTCTTTGTGGTTGGGGATTTCGCTACCACTAATTTACGTTGGATTTTTCTTTGGGTATCGAAAACGTGGTTATGAACAACCTATTAGAACAAATCAAATACCTTAGAGCGGTTCCAGACCAAAATTTTTGTCAAAGTTTGTTACTAACGTGAGTTACTATGTCACTAAAAATGTCAAAATTACATAATCAAGCTTTGCATTAATACTGTCATTCATTAGAAGGCTATTTGCTTTGCTTTTTTCTCTTTAGTTAGAAAAGCACTAAGGGCACTGAAAGTCGAAATAAAATTTGAAATTCACTCACTACCTACGTGGACATTTTTGCAGTAAGCCGTAGCTGTTGTATAATGGGTACCAAAACGTCGCTAGTTGGAGCGGGGTGCGAATATCGTGCCGCATTGGTTAGAAGTCGAGGGCCTAGACCAATATACCACAGCTTCGCTTCAGTGAAAGTCTTGTGCGTTAAGCATATCAGTATTTTCCGAATCATATTCTAAACTGCATAAAACAGCTGTGAAGAATAATGTTTTACTGCAATAGTGCATTCACGTTAGTCGGTCTAAATAAAAAACAAACACAAATCACTGTAGTAGCAAACAGAGGAGTGTTCCAATACAGGTTACCATACTTAGCAATAACATACAAAAAAGAGGTGAATATAAAAAGAATGATGTTGAAATAGGTGTCTTCGATGCGAGTCATTTATAAAGTGACAGTTATTAAGCGTTTGAAAATTTCGAAGATGATGAGGAGTGCGTACTCGTCTGGCATATTGTGGCCAGTTTTGGGTCGTATAATCAAGCATTTTCAAGCAGGAAGCCTAGACCTCTTTACACGCCGGATAAGCTATGATTAGACACTTGTAACTGATAGGGATGAATGCTTATTATCTATATTTGTTAAAACTACCTGTTAAAAATTTGCATTCATTTTCCGTGTTTATTTTTCACCTTTTGTACACCGCATGTTCCTGCCTCTTTCAATGAAAGTACTTTCTACTGATTATCCTTTTATATAAGTTTAAAACTTGGGCCCTGTGGTCGAGTGTAATTCCATTTTAGTCTGTTTATTAGAAATATCATACAGTGAAACAGTAGCATTTACTGGATAACGTCTCGGACATAATTTATTGTCCATATTCATATCAGGTCATATATATATATATATATATATATATATATATATATATATATATATATATATATATATATATATATATATATATATATTACTAACCGCTACTTTGCTAATAACGAAATGTTTAAATACGGTCATCTATTAAGAAGGCCACTTTCCAAACTGACTATATGATAATAATACTGTCTATGATTACTTTCATTTTAGACATCTGATTTAATGCTATGCGCTCTTAACTATGAGAACGCGAAAAAGAATGCTTAATATCGATCACGTTTTTTGCTCAAGTGATGCGGCGCGCCACATACCTCACTTTGGAAAAGAAAACATCTGTCTGCACGCAAAACTTTTTCTTCTGCCTCTTCTTTGTTCAACAAATGACCCCGCAGAGTAGGAGTATATATATATATATATATATATATATATATATATATATATATATATATACGATCCGCCAAGTAGTTTCTTTACTAGCTTGACCTTTTGATAAAGAATAGTTCTGCTAATCATCGTTTCTTCTTTAACTGTATTAGATATCATCGATCTCACATGGTGTTTGCTTACTCTGATTATCCAGAACGTAAACGGAGTTTACACATAAGATACCTTCGTGCAATTTATGCATTCTCCTATGAGAAGTCCATACGATGCAGATGAAAATTCACTAAAGCAGTCTTATGAGTGAAAACTGTGTTTCATTCAATTCTATAGTTGAACTGACAATTCACTTTAGACAGTAATTCATCCGTCGTCAACTTGGTGGCTAGCGGTGGAATCCAGACCGCACGTTTCGTCCTATTTGGGACTTTTCACCTGGATGTACTTGCACTCCACTGAGACTAGAATCCAGCATTCATCGCTTTCAATGCCAAAGCATTTTCCACTAGGCTAATAGAGAAAAAGAGCCTTCTCCCACAAGTACAATAAATAATGATTAAAGAAGTTGGTGATAGACTACAGTTCAAGTCCCACACCCACAGCAGCAACCGAAGGACGAAACTACAAAGGACATCTCATCAGTCAGTCATCAGGACAAAATGGGAGACATTAAGCAACGTCACTGAAGAAACCTGCGTGGAAGAACACTGGAACTCTTTGAAGGAGATGTGGGAAGTAACCTTCATAACGTGTTAGGATGGAAGTACAAACAAGACAGGACAAAGATTGGATCTTGACGGACACATGGAAGCTGATAGAGCAAGGAGGGGAAGATGGTGAAGCAGAAGATGAACCAGTGCAAGGATGCAAAACGAAAAAGGAACTGAGTACAACGTATAAAACGCTGGACAAAGAAGTAAAGAAGAGTGCGAGGAAAGACAGAAGACACTTCTACGTCACACTGTCAAGTGAAGCAGAACAGACTGCAGGTAAGAGCTATGGAGAGCTGACAACACTGTATCAAATAACCAGGTTACTATCCGGGGAGAGATAAACTCAGATAAACCCAATGAGAGATAGTGAAGGAAACCTAGTTACCAAAGAGGAAAAACAAAGGGCTGACCACTTCAAAAAGCTCTTGAATCGACCACCGCCACCTGCAACTCGTTCAGAAATACCACCAGCAACGGCAGAACTACCAGTAAGCACAGGTCTTCCGACGAAAGCAGAAGTCCTGAATGCTATAGAACTGCTGAAATTCCGGAAAGCAGCAGGACCAGATGAAATTCCGCCAGAAGCACTGAAAACAGATGCTGAGACAACAGCGGACATGATCAGACCACTATTGCAGAAGGTTCGGAAGGAAGGGAAGGTACTTGGCGATTGGAAGAAGGGCTACCTTGTCAAACTCCCGAAGAAGGGAGACCTAAGTCTTTGCAAGAACTGGAGCGGAATCATACTCCTGTCCACCCAAAGCAAGCAAAATATTAAGCCGCATCATCCTGGAAAGACTGGAGGATGCACTGGATTCAAAACTGCGACTGGGACAGGCAGGCTGGATTCAGGAAGTACAAATCATGTGCGGACCAAATTGCAACGATACACTACGCATCATCATAGAACAGAGTATAGAATGGCAATCAACCCTCTACCTCAACTTCATCGACTTTGAGAAGGCCTTCGACAGCGTCGACCGACAAGTAATTTGACAACTGCTTCAACATTACGGAATACCACAAACCTTTATCAACCTCATTCAACAACTATATGAAGACTCCACATGGCAAGTAATTCACAATGGGAAGCTAGCTCAGTGATGCCTTTGAAGTGAAGACAGGAGTGAAACAAGGCTGTCTACTATCACCGATGATCTTCCTGATTGTGGTCGACTGGATCATGCAGCAAACTGTGAGGAGCTGTGGGAAGAGGGGTATATGTTGGCTGGACCGGGGAAAAAATCCCAGGAGATTTGGATTTCGCCGATGATGATTTATGTCTCATGTCTTGTCGCACAAAGTCGAAGATCTACAGGCAAAGCCAATAAGTTGACAGAAGAGGCAGGGAAGCGAAGACGGGACTTCAAGTGAACGTAGAGAAGAAAGAGGTGATGAAGATACCCAACCACTATTACCACCAACAACAAACACGAATCACCCTTAACGGGAGGAACATATAGGAAGTAGTCTCTTTCACCTACCTAGCTAGGTAAGCGTTTCTAACAAACTACAGACATTCATCAACAACTGCCACCTACGCTCGATAGTCAAGATCAGATGGTCAGATAGAATAAGCAACAAGGAACTCTGGCTGGCTGGCTGGCAGCGAACCAACCAAGAACCTATCACTGAACAAATATGCAGAAGAAAGTGGAGATGGGTTGGATTGGACATCCACTGAGAAGACAGTTTGGGAAACATCACGCGCCAGGCGCTCGAGAAGAACGCTCATGGAAAACGATTAGTTAGGCGTCCGAGGCGAGTGATGCATGGAGGAGATCATGTGAAGAAGAAATGAAAGCTCGTGGGCAGTCGTGGAGCCAGGTTGAAAAGAATGCAGAAAACAGAGTGCAATAGAGGCGTGCTACTGAAGCCCTATGTTCCACTAGGAACCCAAGGGTAAAGTAGATAAATAAAATTCGTCCTGAGTATTTACATTGTCTAAATAACTTATCTGGCTTGCGTAACTTGTTACTTAGTTTTTGATAGTGTCTTGTAATGTGCCTGAGTTTTCCAAATAGTTTATGTTTGTGATACTATTTTACAGAGATAACACCTGTTATTGTGTTTAAAAAGTTATCAGCTATAACCGTGTTAAATTGAAGGTAAATTAATTGGAAAACTATTCGGATTGAAAAAGTGTTTTTATTTGGATCAACCAGGTCGATGTGTCCTCTTATCCAGCAATAGTCAAGTAGATTTAACAAGGATTTCTCCGCTTTTATGTGTATGACATGACAGTTGAAGCTTCAAAGCCATGAAGATTTTTCGTGACTCAAAATTCACTGAGCAGCCTTGTGCATGTCCACGCAGTAGGCAAGGAGCCACACGTGTTACACGAAGACTAATGTTGCCACCTATCTGTTCCAACCTCATTAGGTAGGTATGGAATCGGATCGATGATCCAGTGGTCGGAATCAAGTGCCTAGAATAACGAGCCAAACTCCCTACGGATAGTAATCTATATGACTACCAATGTGTCAATGGCAACATCAAGAATTCGTTGTAAATGTTGAATGTAGCATCATAATTTAGGGATGGGTAAGAAAAATCGATTGGTTAAATTCCGCTCAAAACTAGTTGATGTATACCTTCAGGTTTTGTGTGAAATAGATTAGTTGTATACTGGTGAAAGTATCTGAGGACATTGGTCAAAAGATGGAACCACATGGCAAGCATAAATTTTCTTGTAACTGAGCGTATGAATTAACTGACTGATATGACCTGAAAACTAAACTTATTGCTACTCCATTTAAACGCACATTTATATTGGCTTCAGTTTTTGTCCCTCCAGCATTTTGACCGTTTTAGTTTCCTATTATATCTAGTCTCGTTTTAATTCTCTTACCCTATACTATCTCTGAATTTTGTGGACTGAAATGATCTACTATTCTTGTGATTCATCGTCGAAGTTTGTAGCAGCGAATACTGGTTGCTCTTTTATCACCTTCATAGGTGGATACATCGATTTTGGTTTGATTTGAAAGCCTCTTAGTGTTAGGATACTGCTTGTGAAATCATTCACTTGCGCTCAATTTCTGCGTGCACTCATTGCGGAGCATGACAACGTACTTACCCAGTAGGCTAACCTAGATACCTCATCAGTTCAGTTTTGATAACTTCCATATAAAATGTTTTAAGTAGTTTTCGACATTTAAAGCCTTTCTTATATGAATATAAAATATTGCAGAGTTCATATGTTAATTTGTATTGTTGCGAAAACCTTGTAGCTTTTTTAAACTTTATTTTCGTTTCTTTTTGCTGATGGTGTGCAAAACATGATCAAACTCGATTATCTGTATGTTTACCCTGGATGTCTGTATCTTAGATCAAATAAAATCTAGATATGACATAATACTGTTGTTTTCGACGCAAACAGCCTAACATATCCAAGTGTAAATATAATTTTATGTGCTTTTTGTCCTCCTAACTTTTCTTATTAATCCCTTTATTTTTCTATTATTATTATTATTATTATTATTATTATTATTATTATTATTATTATTATTATTATTATTATTATTATTATTATTATTATTATTATTATTATTGATACTGCCGCGGTCCAAATTTTCATTTCATCTTCAAACATCGCCTAGTATCAATATCAGTCTTCCAAACCACGTCTGTCTCAGAAAGTCAAATGATAATAATAATTACTATAATAATGCCACTGCTCAATTGGTTGGCTTAATTATTAATTTCCAGAGCCTTCTATCATACCAACTTCCTTGGTGAATTCATACTAGTTTGTTTTACTGCTATGTTCGCGTCGTTATAAATTCTTTTTGTTTTTAGAAAGAAAACTGTTTCATTTGATATTAATTCGTTTGTTGCAGAGGTTTAGACAAATGGGGCATACAATTTTGGTCGAATTTTGTATACATCTGTCTTATGTAAGGCAGCAACGCCTTTGATCCAACAAAGAACGTATTATCACTCTTGTATATGCAGTTGACAAACTTTTTGTCCCATATACTTATTGTAAACTGTGGTTTGTGGTACAGGATTTATTTTTTTAAAAAAAATTGTTTTTCAGCTTGTTGTTTTTAGTAGTAATTTTCGCGCTAACTAAAACCGTTGCACAATAACTGTGTTGTTAGTATTGGAATTGAATATCCTTTAAGCTAACCTATTTTGACACCTGACATTTATACTTGGATTATTAATCGTATTTAAATACATTCAAATGTTTTTTCACTTTTGCACAAAATGACGTCTAGCACACTTTACTCCGGAGCTCTTCCGTTCGGTGCAGTCTTTATTGAAGTCTTCTTCATCTATAACGTAAGTTAGTTGTCGCATACTTTACACTAAATATTTCGATAAAAGGTATTAGTGTTAATTCCAAAGGTGTATCTAGTACAGTTTTGTACGGACCTAGCATTGTTCGAATGTGGGGTTGAAAACATGATGTTTACCACCTGAAAGTGGGTTGATCGGGTATTTCACTGTTAAGGCGGATGAAACCGTTTTCCGAAACAGAGGTTCAATCGATGACTAACGTTTGTGCACACAATTTCTGACTCAAGAATTTTCAACTTACGGTTCATAGATTGTGTCCTATAGAGCTGTTTAGATGGCATCACACTCTGAATCTGTAAGATAGCTTTTATCGGTCCTTATGCAGTGTTTATGCATAAATGAAGATATCTTGTTGATTAGCAACTCCATAGTTTTAATCTGATTTTACAGATGTACCCTTTATGTGCTTTATTCATGTATCTTGACTTGTATGTCACCAACGTATTTTACTGTAATATGAAGTGAAATATACTTTGATTTCTATATCTACCTTCTATCTGTGAAAGTTTTTGTGAGTTTGTTGGTAAGTCTTGTAACAGGAGTACCATATGTTTCATTTATGTAGAAGTAAATCTTGGGCAGTGTGGTAGATTGTAATTCCATTTTAGTCTGTTTATCTGAAATGTCACACAGTGAAAGAGAATCATTTACTGGGTAACGTTTCGGACGCATTTTGTTGTCCATATTCATATCATATGATATGAATAATATGTACAATAAACTATTTCCGAAAGTTATCCAGTAAATGATACTGTTTCACTGTGACATTTCTAATAAACAGACTGAAATGGAATCATCGTCTACCACAGTTCCCAACTTTTACTCCCATATTAGTGAAGTGAAATAGTTTCATTATCAAATTAGAAACTCACTAAGTCTCACTTTGCTAACTTCGCACACAATATAGGACGGTGTTGTCCCATTTTCCCCACTCATTTTCAACAAGCGCAAAAAGAAGGAAATTCGTATGTTTGGTCTGATAAGGTGAACATTATTTTATCATGATTTTATGACTGATCTTAATATTTAAATGATCATTCTTTTGCTATTTCCTTCCCCCCCTCACTTAAACAATAGGCTATTTGGGAGAGTCAATTCTACTACTTATTCGGATTTCTGTTCGTTGTATTCATAATATTAATCATTTGTTGTGCTCAAGTTGCAATTGTGTCCACATACTTCCAATTATGTAATGAGGTAAGATATGATAGTGAAATGTTGCCTATTGCCTACCATAAGTTATAACGACTCATCATTAGACAGCTGATTTTAATAAGGTTAGAAAGTCACTTTGAACGACATTGCGGACGTGTTGTCAGTTAAGTCAGATTATTTAGTTGACTCGGTTACCTCTGGTACATTTTCTTTCTGAACTAAGTTTTTCCTCCAACCTAAATTCTAATCCACATACTTACCAAATCGTCTATTGTTGAAACTATGTAAGCATAATATGGGTTGAAGTTATATCACAATGACAGTTAAAGGTAACCTTTAGTCGGAAGGAACGAAAACATTTGGTCTATATTGGCATGTATGCACAGGGTGGTTTACTCAGATTATCGCTGAATATCTATGTAAAAGTATAATACTTTCGAAAACTTTGGACAATTATAACTTCTGATTAACTGTGTATGGATATATTGATCTCTCTGTGTGTTGAAGTCTAGTGTTTTTATTTAAGCGGACCAATGATCTTTCATCAGTGAACAGTTTCTTGAAAACGATGGTAATAAATCATCGCATAGTTTCCCAACAATAAAATGGAATGAAATTGATCTGTAAAAATATACAATCGGTCACAAACAAGAAAGCTAATTTATAGATTATCCATAGATATTTACCTGTTACTTTGTCTGAGTCAAATCTAATTCCTTGACCTCTCGCCAAACAAACCAACAATGAAAAAGAACATCAATAAGCGTAAAGCAGAAGAGTGGACTAATCAGATCAAGAAAAGCTTCATCACTTCAGTCAAGCAAACATATCAACCAATCAAATCCGAGCGACTTTCCTGAGGTTATTAGAACTTATAAGACTGAATAGTCACAACGAAGCTACCTCAATTTACCGCCTGTGAACTGGAAAGTTGATCAACGACTTATCTCTTACACTCTCTTCAGAGAAAATTAAAGGCAAGCAGTCAATCGATCAAGTTAGAATTAAACAAGGTGGCATGTTGTAAATATCCATGCATAACCCATTATTCACTCTCTTGTGGAGCTCTGACGAGGATATGGAGTACCACATTAAAATTTTTACTACCTAAGATAGCAGCTCAGGACACAACCCAGTGTAAACTTTCCACTCTTTTATGAAGTTTCTTATCCACCTCTGGAATTGCTTTCGCATATTTCACCGAACCAATAACCTCTAATAGAGTAAAATTAGGAGATCCATATACCTTAGAATAATAACTTCACTTCGAATATTTCGAACATCACGCAAAATAATGTCTAAATTGAAGTTGATAATGGTGATCAATAAAACTTAAACTAAAAACTTATAAGCTATATAGTATCACATCTATCTAACAGTTAACGGTGTTGTATTTATTAATGAAACTCCCATATCATAGGAGTACAAGAGAAAAGAATATCAACCAAAGGGAAAAAATATTACAATAGGCCAAAGGGTTGCCAATGAATAAGAGTGATAGCTTCAAGGTAGTATGATGGTCTATTTTTATGGCGGAAAAAGTTGAATATCCCTCTGTCACTATTCTCAAATTTTAGTGTTATCACCTAGCAGTTGATTTGTAGCACTCTCAAGGCACACAGTTATCGTTTTTTTTCTTTAGCTATCGTCAGCTTTTTTAAACCTAGTCCTAGTTCTACTATCATATTAGTGGCTAAAGACTCCTGACAAATACCATAGCAATGTCAATCAATGTTAATTCATATACCCGATAACTGACTTCATCTCCCTGTGTAAAGTACTGCACATAACATCAACACTGATAACTCAGTTGTTCCGTCACATATGAGCAGTGAGAAAGAAAATCTGTGATAAGGTAGGCTTAAACGATGTTTTATGGATTTAGAGTGGGTTAAAGCATACTGGTATGTGCAATGAGTTCATCCTTTGATTATACACTTGAACATTTCAGTTTGTCTGGAGTACGGATCAAAGCTATCCGAGCTTAGGGATAGCTGATTTCACTGTAGAATGAATCTTGTGGTATTTATCTTTAAGCAGCATATATAAATTATGCAAGGTTTTGTGTTGAAGAGCATAACTTTTATTCTCTTCTACCATATTGATACTAATTAAAGTCATTTGAACTCTTAGAATTGGTTTATTAACAGAAGTCTACATTCCTTCAAGACTTCTTAAATTACTGAAAACAATTAACAGTTTATTGTCACTGTTGAAAAGAAGAAAAGTGACAGAAAAATAATCATAGTTCCTTGTGTTAGTTTCACATCGGTAGCAATCATCATCAAAATAGGACCAGACATTACAGCATAATGATCCAATTTGGCACACTTCAAATCAAGAACAAAATGAAGATAGAGTGTGGATACGTCTGCGCTGCTGACATCGATTCTGAGCCATATTACCCAAAGTCTTTAGTCACCGGTTTCTGTCATGTCATGGATAGCATTGCACAACTCTGCATTTCGCAACACACCTAACCCTAACAGCCAAATACTCCATGCAATGATGCCATTTTTTTAGTGTGGTCGCTCCTGACACTTCCAGCCTGGAACTATTTCAGCTAACATTATGTGGGGAAGCTAACGGTGATTAGGGTTGTGTAATTCATGCCCCACCCACCTGAGTTGTCGAAGGTTCACGACCTCATCAACTGACTTTCCTATTCTCAATGAAACTCTACACCTGAGTTCTGCATTACTGACTTGCTGATACCATGACACAACTAGTGCTATAAAGGTGGTCAAATACATGAAATTTCTATCTTTAATAGCCATGTTTCACAATCACAGAGTGGACTGCAGCGCAGTTCACTCGATCCTCAATAGACAACCGAACATCATGCCGGTCATATCGAAGCTGTACGGGAGTGCAGGAACTGTCCGTCATACCCAAATGACTGTACATAGTGGGCGTGATTTACTGGTTATCACTGTGTACATAATATTAGTTGTCACTGTAATATTAGCTGGTTTAAACACTGATTACCTCATTGAAAATATATCTCTTCACTCATTTCGCTGATTGTTTATATATTCATATGCTAAAATTCACTGCTTAAAATCGATTTAAATAGGACTATCATTGGTGGTGGCGCACTTTTATCACATCTGGTGGAGCTGCAGTTTATCTGATTGGATATTCGTTCTTCTACTTTGGAACAAAGGTATGTACATAAAATTTAGCCATATTATTCTTATAATTAATATGTGTGATACTGTGGTTACAATATCGACCCTATTTTCTCATTTCCAGCTTAACATTACTGAATTCGTGCCAACCATCATATTTTTTGGTTATAGTACTCTCATGGCGATCGCATTTTGGATCTTGACGGGTACAATTGGTTTCACATCTACGTATATATTCTTGCGATACATCTATTCAGTCATCAAAATAGATTGAAGTGTATGTATGTTGAGCTGAGATTCGTAACGCTGTCTGTGTCAAGTTAATATTATGAAATCATAATAGCTCTTTATTACATTCACCTTTTGAAATTAATTTACATCTTCATCTCCATATTATTATTATTATTCTCTTTATCTTGTCACTGTTAATTTGTCTGGTTACCAATAAAACGTTTATGTGTGATACTTTTAACCTCAGTGCTTTGACTTTAGTTATAAACATGTTTCTGCTATTATTGGTAAATAAAAATGTAAACTACTTCCTGTAGGTTTCAGTAGCCAGTTAGACTATCCAGTAAAAAAGAGCAGGTAAGATTGGATCAAATATGTGACTATTGTGAAAGAGTATTCAGTCGAATGAGAAATTCATGACACCAAACATAGGGCGGATTTTCTACGAAAAGTGTGCATGGTTTATTCCATCGTCACCAATGAGAATAGGTTTAGATTATAATAATTCCACTTTTTTGTGACAAAATTAGCTTAAACATATCACAGTCTATGTTGCCATATCTTCACGTCGTAAAAATATTATAGCATAAATTAAAGTTAATAATCAGTAGATTTAAATTCGATAGAATACATGTGCTATATAGGTGAGTCTGAATAATACTACGCGTTCCTGGCACTTGTCAGCAAAGCCTATCTGCAACCTTGACGGAACTGATGTCCTGCCTGAGATTCGAATCCACGTCACCCAGTGTTGTAGTCAGCGACTTTACCACCGAGCTATTCGGGCCGCGGTCGACCTCCTGTAGGACTGGTTTACATATATTGATTGGTCACGGGAGTGCAACCAATTTCATGTTGTCTAGTCTCCTGAGTGCAAACCGAATCCTATCGACCATATTGCAATGTTGCAACCAAGCTAGGAAGCTCAGCATCGCGTTGCACATTAGTAGATGTTAGTTGGTCTGTGTCAACTGCATATTATTATTATTATTCTCAGTTCAAATACATATTCAGGAACTTGTTAGATAACAACTGTTATAAGTATCATGACAGGCAGACAAACTCAAGAAAGAAACCTTGCATAAAAGTATATCCGAAGAATAAATGGTAACAAAAAGAGTGAACTCGAAGTACACAAAGGTGCACTGGAAGTGAGCGAATCTGCCTCCTAAAACTTGACGGTGAACGACGATCTCATGAATGGAGCTTCCAGTTGTTAAAACTGCCTTGCGTTATCCAGGTTAACGTTCTCAAACTCCAGTTAGCCGTCGGATTATTATGTAAGGGAGGATATTAAATGCCACATTAGAAAGACAATTATATTCCCCTCATACAGACAGCAAGGATCAACGAAGCAGAGTGAATCGTAAGAGAGATTATAGTCTGCGATTAACTCGCCGAGGAGAAGACTGTGACGATGGTTGGACAACTTTTAGGAACAATCCAATAGCTCTGTAGCTTGCATCCCCGTTGCCTGCTATCCAGTCAGCTCCTGCAAAGAACGTTGAGATAGTGTCTCGAACCCTTGGCGAAGTTGAGAAGGATGTAAGAAGTGAGGAAGGGCGGAGGGACTATTACCAGAGGTTTAACGACAGCGGCCAAGGGGATTGGTTAGATTAACTGAATTATTAACTGTCGTGGGAGGATTGGATATGGTCCTCTCTGGTTGAAACTAATCACTGACTTTGCTATTCTTCAATAACGGAGGAAATCCTCTTGTAATTACTACAAAGGGATCAGTTTGGTGAGCATGGTGTCTATTGTTCCAGACTGCGTAATTATCACACATCTGAGTGGAGCTCGGCAACAGCGAACGCGAGGTAATCAGACTGGTTGGTGTACTAACCAGATATTCACTCTCTTTTGGGTTCTAGAAAACAGACACGCTCGCGGGCATCAGATACTACTAGTGTTTCTTGACTTGACCTGGAAACATTCGGCTCCACCGATCATGTAGTCTCATGACGGTATCTTCCACTGACAGGGATGCCAGCCAAGGATATCTTCCTGTTAAAAACTCTGTACTCGGACATCCGTGAGCTTGAGTTAGTCATCAGGTTGTTTGTAGATGTCGAGTGGTGTTCGTCAAGAATGTCCGCTCTCTCCATTCTCACTCAATTTTACCACAGACGTACTTGTTGACATCTCACTCTCGTGTTGTCTGACTTTATAGGGATTGATCTTGGTAGGTCTAGAGTTGGCAGATGACGCAGACCTATTAGGTGAAAACGCTGACGAGATTCACAATCTCCCGAACAACTTAAGTGGGGCTTGGCAGATACTCACCACCCAAATGGAAATTCGTCCTCTACCACTAGTGTCTGACGGTTTCTGGTTGAAAAATAGGAAGTGAAATGGTCGAGAACTGAGGACCAGTACTGTCAGTAGTAGATACAACTTTTCCGATGGCGAGTTGCCATGCAAGTGCGTAATCTGATGTTGCTCTAGTCGCTATTGTAATAAACTTTATAAGGTAAAAACCTGCTTTCGTCCAGTTTTGTAGTTCATATCAGCTGTAAAGCCTGGCATCGAATATCTCACATCTTTACGTGGTGATCGGGCTTTTTGTGGTAATGACTAAACTTTCGTTGCTTATAAATCTCTTTGTTCTCCCAGTGAGCTACCATGTCATATTTTTGTTAGATTTTGATTATACAATATGCAGTTACCATTATAATGCAGGTGTCTATGCCATTATGGGGCCCTAACAAAATAATCATACTCCTGGGTGGACGGGTGAATACAGCAAGGTGTTTCCCTTGGATCACCAGCAGTGCTGCGTTGATGCTTACTTCTCTATGACAATGAAGGATGTTAAAAAAGCTAAGTCGGCTTTTACCAGCTTACGACAACTGTGGTGCCGCTATGGTATCCGATTGCGCATTAAAGGTCGGCTGTACTGCGATGCAGGTCACTCTGTCTTACTGTATCGCTGGGAAACAAGACCATTAGGGATACAGAAAATTTGCGAACTTTAGCTGTTTGACCACCGTTGCCTACGTAGCATAGGTCGTGTGTCGCAGTGTCACCATGTGAGTAATGCAGAAGTTAAGTACAGCGTTGTAAAAAAGAAAGGAAAATTAGTCGGTGAACCTTCATCGATTCAGGTGGCTAAGAGATGTGTTATAAATGCCTAGTCTTTAATTGCTTGAACCTGAAACAGGCTCAGGCTGGATTAAGGTTAGGAGTGGTCAGACTAAAAAATAGCATTACTGCATGAAGTCTTCAACTATTGCTCTGAGACATGAAGGAAGATGCAAACTGGCTGCTTCAGGTCTGTCTGACAACAGAAGCCAGCGGCAGAAGACCGTAGGTGACAGGTTCAGAATCGATCTCAATAGTGCAGATATATCACTTGATTATCTTCATCTCAACCGCTAGGCTGAATTAGGCATTTTCTCCTTCTTCTTTAGTCTCTTTTAATACTTTACACTGTTTTGGCCGATTTTTCTACCTTACTTCTTCTTCCACCCTATTACTTTGTTAATTGTGCTGATATCAAGTAGAAGAACTTGAACCGTTACTCTGCAATGCCTAGCCCAATGTCGATTTTCGTGGTGATTATGATGCAAATAGCCAGATAAAATCAAAGTGGAACCTTGTACAGACGTGCATTGGTTCAAGATGCCTCATCCGATAGTGGAATAATAAGAACTAATCGGTTGGGAAAGACTTATATCAAGGTAGAAAAAAAGTATAGGAGGCGAAGGAATTAGAAAATCAAGATCGATGGAAATATTGAAGTTAGATAAGACGTGAACGACTGAACATGTCTGTATTATGGTCACCTATTTTAAGTAGTGACAGAAGAGGTCTCCAACTCTTAATTCCAGCTATCTCGAGAACTCCAGGCAAGTGATCTACACAACTAAGACCAATAGTCAGAAACTTCAAACACTGGTGGCATGTCTATATCTGGCCACCTTGAGCCCTCTTCCGACCTAATCCAACTTCTACCTTGTATTCCGCGCCGAGGTAGGCGATGGCCTGACATGCACAACATATGTCCAAGCCACTTCAGTCGATGAAGTTTCACAACTACATCGACCGACTTGCCACCCATGTCTAGTACCTTTTATCTGACCCCAAC